CATTGGTGTTTGTCACAGACAAGGTGTTGAGGTATTTCAAATATTTCCTTGAAATGAAAACAAAATGAAGGGATTTTATTATCATGCTCACCTAACATGGAAAACAGGGAAAACCTCGTAAATACAAATCCGGTTCCATATCCTTGATTAGCCAATGAAAACTGATCACCTTCTAGTGCAGGGGTCTTCAAACTTGGCCCTTTTATGTCTTGTGGACTTCAATTCCCAGAATTCCTCCACCAGCATGCCTGGCTGAGGAATTGTGGGATTTGAAGTCCACAAGTCATAAAAGGGCCACGTTTGAAGACCTCTGTTCTAGTGGGATGCTTAGGATCCTTTCCTTCTATTCATCTAAATAGTTTGCTGGAAGAAAATGTAAGATGATGAAATTGGCTTGAAGATTCTAGTTTCATCTTTCCTATTTAGAAGGTGATCTATCTTCAGGGGGAAAAAAATAACATGGAATGCAATATTGTCCTTTTGTATCATGGCAGAAGACTGGAAATGAAACTTTAGGGTGAAACTTCTAAATATCCAAACTGCCATTCACATATGGAGGAAACACCTGCACCAAAAGAATCTCCGTGTAGAATTAAGAACAGGCTTCCCCTCCAAATTTTTGACACTGGGGGGTAATGTTGCTACATGAAATTCCAATTTCTGTGCACCTGGTGGGGGTGGGGAAGGGAATAGAACAAATATGTATATACAGGCTCAGCGTTAAGACATATCACATTGAGCAGCTGTGTTTTATAAAATATAAAAGGCAAAACTGAATTGTATTTAGGAATACAAAATTGTTTATTAGTATTTTTCAATCGGCAGAAAATGTTTTGGTGACATTTTTATTACAATTGCTATTACTATTATTCTTGCCATTATTATTGTTATTGTTGTTGTTGTTGTTTCAATGTGTATGATTGCCCATCTTGGCAAATCAACTCTGAGCAACTAACTAGTGATGAAAACACTACACAAAATGACAAAATAGCAACCACAACAAATATTTATACAATTGTCAAATTAAAACCCAATTTAATAAGCAGAGAACATTCTACAGGCTGAAATCAGTCCTTTTCCCATTTCTCCAACTGAGGCCTAACTTATAAGTTGTGCCTTGTGTCTTGACCTATGCATCGTTCTTTTAGGTTTTTTTTCTCAAAAAGAAATATTAAGGGGTGGGGAATGTAAAACGTTTTCTAATCTTAGATGAGCTGTTCTTCTCATGTTCATGTCTCGTTCAAAAATTCTCAGTGGACGTTCATAATCTATAATCTTGAATCACTTTTCATAGGGGGTGACATGTTCCAAGTCTTTGTTTTAATTGTTGTTGTTTTAACCATTTACTCATGTGCAACTCTTGGCAACTTTATAGGATAGTGCAATTTACTTTATTTTGCAATTTTTTAAATTATTTTAACGTAAAGGTTGCTTTCACTTTTCTTAAAACTGAAAAGTTATGTAAAAATCAACATTGTAGGGTATTGGGCAAGGAAACTATAAGTTGAATGCACCGAGGAACACTTTTATCTCAACCAATATGTAAATCGAGTCACAATTTCCCCTTTAAAGGAGCCAGTTGCTTTTCCTTTTAAGGCTACACCCAGCAACACAAAGTTGTGCATTTTACTGAATTCTATCCTATTAGCTCCTCTCAATTCATTACAGGGTGCAAATATGATTCTGTGGCTAAACATGGTATCCCTACTAGCATTCCTCAGAGGTAATTGTTTCTTTTCTAGGTATTCAGTTGTTTCCATTTTAATTCTTGTATACTGGAGAGTGTATTGATACACCTTTCTTTTTAGGTGTTCATTCTGAGGTCCAGTTGGTGGAATCTGGAGGGGATGTGAGAAGACCTGGAGGGTCCCTCCGTCTCTCCTGCCAAGCCTCTGGATTCACCATCAGCAGCTATTACATGTACTGGGTGAGACAGGCTTCTGGGAAAGGACTGGAATGGGTGGCAGAGATAGGTACATCCTCATCTCCGATTAACTACTCGGACAAAGTCAAGGGACGTTTCACCATCTCCAGGGATGATTCCCGCAGCCAGCTGTATTTGCAAATGGACAGTCTGAAACTGGAAGACACGGCAGTTTATTACTGTACTAGAGACACAGTGAGAGGAAGTGAATCTGAGGCCAAGCAAGAACCTTCTCATCAGAGCAGCTGTTCAAATTGAGTTCCTTACAGAAAGTTAAATTTGTAAAATTGGAGCAGCCAATAAATCTCCATGATGGCAAGTGGAAGTGCAGGACTGGTCTTGGAATATGCAGTGTGGAACCTGGTTGACAGTTTGGTAGGGAAAAAAGAAACAATCTGCGGTCAGTATTTGAAACTGGGTACTTTTTAAAAAGTTTAGATTTATTTAAAGGTAGAAACATGGATTGATGTCCTACAGAATAGAGTAGAATAATAGTGTTGGAAGAGACCTGGGAGGTCTTCTAGTCCAACCTCCTGCTCAGGCAGGAAACCCTATACCATTTCAGACTAATGGTTGTCCAATCTCTTCTTGAAAACATCCAGTGTTGGAGCATTCACAACTTCTGGAGGCAAGTTGTTCCACTGATTACTTGTTCTAACTGTCAACAAGTTTCTCCTTTGTTCTAGGTTGCTTCTCTCTTTGATCAGTTTCTATCCATTGCTTCTTCTCCTGCCCTCAGGGGGTTTGGAGAATAGCTTGACTCCCTCTTCTTTGTGCCAACTTCTTGTGGCAATCTCTGGTTACAATTCATCCTTTTTATGTTTTGCAGTTCTGTCCATTTTTTTTTCAGTATTGATAACTCTCCTCAGTTTAATTCCATTGTATACAGTATGTTACTCCTTTTTTATTTCTTCTACATTTATACATTAATATGTATTCAGTCTCCTTAATCCAAGCTCTATCCCCTCAACTGGGATGATGAGAGCTAAATATTGGACATTGCAAACCTTCCCTCCTAGAAGCTCTCTGAATATTTTGAAGAGTGTCTTGACTTGGGTTATCTCTCACTAACTTCTGGGGATGAGAACAACTGGAATCCCTAAGCACCTTGCTTCACAGGGAAATAAAAGTGGGGAAATCTGTCTGCCTTGTCTTATAGATCTGCAACTTTGGGTATGCAGGCAAATAAAATTATCCCCAGAATGTTCACATTGCAAAGCAAGATATACATTTACTCAAATGAAATCCTTTCAGTTGTCCTATGTACTAATAGTTAACCATGTCTCTCTCGATGTGGGTGAAAAAGGAGAGTGCAAAAGTTGGCTTGAAACTCAACATTAAGAAAACCAAAATCATGGCATCAAGCCCTCTTAATTCCTGGCAAATAGATGGGGAAGAAATGGAGATAGTGACAGATGTTATCTTCCTGTGCTCCAAGATCACTTCAGATGGGGACTGCAGCGAAGAAATTGAAAGACGCTTGCTCCTGGGGAGAAAAGCTATGCAAATCTAGACAGGATTCTAAAAAGCAGAGACATCACTCTGCCAACAAAAGTGCATATAGTCAAGGCCATGATTTTCCCAGTTGCAATGTATGGATGTGAAAGTTGGACCATAAGAAAGGCTGAGCGACAAAGAATTGAGGCTTTTGAACTATGGTGCTGGAGAAGACTCCTGCGAGTTCCTTGGACTGCAAGGCATTCAGATCAGTGAGTCCTAGAAGAGATCAACCCCAACTGGTCTTTAGAAGGCCAGATCCTGAAGTTGAAACTCAAATACTTTGGCCACCTAATGAGAAGGAAGGACTCACTGGAGAAGGGCCTAATGCTGGGAAAGATTGAGGGCAATAAAAGTAGGGGACGACAAAGAATGAGGTGGCTGGATGGTGTCACTGAAGCAGAAGGTATGAACTTAAATGGACTCCAGAAGATGGTAAAGGACAAGAAGACCTGGGGGAATGTTGTCCATGGGGTCGCGATGGGTCAGACACGACTTCGCACTTAACAACAACAAGCATATTCTCAAAATTTGTTGTAAAGAAGTCTATAATTTTAATGGAGATAATGACTATTATATTTATTTTGATACAGATAAAACAATATTCTATTGTAAGGACTATGTATGCGATATATTTGGTTTGAGTTTCTGGTTTAATGAACAGAACAGAACAGAACAGAACAATAGAATTGGAAGGGACCTGAAGGTCTTCTAGTCCAACCCCCTGCTAAGTCAAATGAAGTGATAAGAAGTGATCAAAAAGCGTCCAGTGTACATAGTGATGGAATTGTACTTAGGAACAATTTTACCAGGGACAAACTTTGAAGCTCGTTTATCATCTGCACACTCCCATGGGACAAACAACCTTTTTTTTTTTTTACTGTCTTCATCTCAGCCTATCTCTGTGAATGAGATAGATGTGAGTTATCCTCAGCTATAGTGGTGTTAAAATAGTATTTTCTTTTTTATTTCAAATTCTGCAAAGGAAAACTCCAGGGTGTTCACTCAGACTTGGCCATCCATTACTTTGGAGAAAAGGCTGGCAGGATCCAATCTGGGACACCTATATTTGCCTTCATTTGCAAAAGTTTGGCACAACTCTTGACAAAGGTCTTAGAGACATAAATGGCTGGGAAAGTTGAGGCAAGAAATGGAGTCCAGGAGATATGTCAATGAAGATTCTCAGTCATCCAGTTAGAGTTGTCAGGATGTTGAGTCATGGCATCTGGACTTCTTTTCTTTTTGACTTAAAATCTTTCATCGCTTCTTCGTGTCCAAGTGCCGTGACTCAACTTCCAGGGGACAGGATTATTTTCCTGAGTCAAGGACGATTGGAGAACATTTTCCTGGAACTATGATGAAAGGCCCTCAATCATTTTGGACCTTCAAAATATTCTGAGTTGTTTCTTCCCCAGAACTTTATTTTGAATGTTAGAGGAAGCTGTATTTCCAACACTTGAGTAAAGAGCTTCTAACATTATATAGAAGGGTTGCCCTCTTTATTATAATCACTATGTAAATTTAGGGAAGGCTTCCTGTTTAAAAATCTTTGCTGAAAAATCTCCAGAAAAAGCTACCTCACATATCATTTTGACCAATTTTCATGCAACAACCATATTGCTTCCCTCCAAAATGAGTCATAGTATTATTCTTCTACTGCAGTTAATTTTCAGTTCATCTCTGTTTCCAGGTGATGTTTTCCTCTCTCTCTCTCTCTCTCTCTACACATCTACAAGTACAACTATAATTACAACTGTAACTATACTTAAGTTACAACTGTAACTATACATACATGCATACACATACAGTCTAAAGATGAATGAATGTAACAATATTTATTTTTTTTCCCAGGTATTAAATGCAATGTTCAGCTGGAACAATCTGGAAGTTATGTGAAAAAACCTGGACAATCCCTCTTTCTTTTCTGCAAAGGGTCCGGTTTTAATTTTGGAAACTATGGCATGCATTGGGTGAGACAAGCTCCAGGAAAAGGACTGGAGTGGATTGCAGTTATTTGGTACGATGCCAGTAAGCAAGAATATGCAGAATCTGTCAAGGGACGCTTCACCATCTCCAGGAACAATGCCAAAAGCCAGCTGTATCTGCAAATGAACAGCCTCAAACCAGAGGACACAGCTGTCTATTACTGTGCAAGATACACAGCGAGAGGAAGTGAATCTGAAGCCTACCAAGAACTTTCTCCTCCTTTGAGCAGTTCTCCAAATTGATTCAGTCATAGAAGTTTGGATCTGTGCTCTCCAATAGAGAAGCAGCCCATACATTTACATCATAGCAAGCAAAACCCAAAATCTGATCTTGAATCAATTTGAAGAGATCCTGACTAGCATTTCTCTGGGGGAAAGAAGAAAATTCCTTGGCAATAAAATAAATTATGTAGTTTTATTTAAACCTTTATTTATAGCTTAGGAAGGTATATTGCTCACCAGGAAGCTGAGAATTTTCATTGGTGTTTGCCACAGACAAGTTGTCGAGGTATTTCAAATATTTCCCTGAAATGAAAACAAAATGAAGGGATTTTACTATCATACTTATCTAACATGCAAAATAGGGAAAACATTATAAATACAAATTGAGTCCCAGATCCTTGATTAGCCAATGAAGATTGATCACCTTCTAGTGCAGGGGTAGTCAACCTTGGCTCTTTTATGACTCGTGGACCAACTCCCAGAATTCCTGAGCCAGCTGGCTTAGGAATTCTGGGAATTGAAGTTCACGATTCATAAAAGACCCAAGGTTGACTACCCCTGTTCTAGTGGGAAGCTTAGGACTGTTTCCTTCTATTCATCTAAATAGTTTGCTGGAAAAAAAAGTAAGATGATGAAAATGGCTTGAAAATTCCAGTTTCAACTTCTCTGTTTATAAGGTGATCTATCTTCAGAAAAAAACAACAACAACCATGGAATGGAATATTACCCTTTAGTCTCACCAGAGAAACCTGGAAATGAAACTTCAGGGTGAAACTTCTAAACATCCAAACTGCCATTTCTCCTTGTGAGGAAACACCTGCACCAAAAGAATCTGGAGAACAAGGACCATGCTTCACCTCCTCATTTTTGACACTGGGGGGCAATGTTGTTATATGAAATTCCAATGTCTGAACTAGAAAATCATTTAAGGGAAACCAACAACCTGAATGATGATGATGTAGAAGCAAACTGGAATAAATTTAAAAGTGCAGTAGTAGAGGTAACAAATTCAAAACAGAGAGAGGGGTACCACAAGAAACAACCGTGGATGACGGAGGAAATTCTTCATCTCATGGATGAAAAAAGATCTTATAAAAATAAAAACAAAGAAAAATACAATGAATTCCAGAAAACAATTAGAAGAAAAATTCGACTGGGAAAAGAAAAGTGGTTTGCAAAGAGATGCAAGGAAATAGAAGAGACAGAACGTATACATGATAATTTCAATTTACACAAAAAAGTGAAAGACAGAGCAGGCCTCTACAAAAAGAACTTAGTTGACAAAGAGGGGGAAATTATCTTAGATGAGGAGGAAAAACTAAAAAGATGGAAGGAATATATCGGAGAACCTTTGAGGACACTAGGGGTGATATAGATATGAGAAGTATAAGAACTTGACCAAACATCACTATGGAGGAGGTTGAACATGCAATAAAAATAGCAAAAACAAGAAAAGCCACAGGATCTGATGATATCCCAGTAGAAATTTTAAAATTGCTGGAAGACAATGGGAAGAATTTTTTTTACTGCTGCTCTTTAGTCAGATATATGAAACAGGAAAGATACCAAATAATTGGCTAAAATCAACCTTTGTGACAATCCCCCCAAAAATAAATGCAAAGAAGTGTATTGAATACAGAACAATAAGGTTAATGAGTCATGCCCTGAAAATATTCCTGAGAATAATTCACACAAAAATATACAAAATTGTAGAGGGTCTAGGTAACACACAATTTGGTTTCAGAAACAATCTTGGTACACGAGATGTGATATTCAGCATTTAAGTTCTTGTACAGCATTGTAGAGATGTCAATCACAGTGTTTACATGTGCTTCATTGATTTTGAAAAAAACATTTGATAAAATAAGACACAGCAAACTATTAGAAATCCTGAAACAAGGGGGACTAGATGACAAAGACATCCAAATCATAAAGAATCTGTATTGACATCAGGTAGCAAATGTGAGACTAGGCCAAAAATACTCCGCTGATGCAGAAATAAGAAGACGGGTCAAACAGGGATGTATTCTGTCTCCACTGTTGTTCAATATCTACTCTGAATCAATCTTCAACGAGGCACTGGAGAACATGGATGCTGGCATCAAAGTAAACGGTGTTTGGATCAATAATTTAAGACAGGGCTTTTCAACTTTTTCACCCATTGTACCACTTTTAGGATATGGCAATATCCGAGTACCACCAGTCGCCAGCAAGGTGTCAAAAACTTGATGACCCCCCAAAAAAAGGAAAAAAGTGATAAAGTACAGGTAGTCCTCGACTTACAACAATTTGCTTAGTGACTGTTCGAAGTTACAATGGCACTGAAAAAGTGCCCCCCACAGCTGAGCAAGACACCTGCCTGCCCGCCTGGCAGCGCTCTTCCTCTTGTCTGAGGTTTTGATTATTGTGAGCATTTCTGTTGAGGATTGGCAGCTGGGGTGGGGTGGAGTGTGTGTGTTTTTTATTCCCCCCCATCTGCTGGGTGGCTGCAGCAGGTTTTGGTCACTTCACATGACCCTGGGACACTGTGACCATCATAAATATGAATCAGTTACCAAGCATCTGAATGTAAATCACAAGACCTTGGAGATGCTGCAACATTCCAGCTGATCGGCTCTTCTTCTGGGCTCAGCAGAAGTGCCAGGATCAGTGCCAAGTTCCAGCTGGAGCCTGGCGCTAATCCTGGTGCTTCCACTGAGCCCTGACAGCCCTGCAGCTCCAGCCGTCTCTCACTTAGCCTTGTGCGGTGTTACCACGGGTTCAGCTCATTCCCCTCCCCCACTACCACTTTTCTAGGATGGTTGCATACCACCTGCCAGGTGCCAATGTACCACAGGTGGTACCCATACCACTGGTTGAAAAGCCCTGATTTTTTATATCTTAAATCAGGGCTTTTCAACCGGTGGTATGGGTACCACCTGTGGTACATTGGCACCTGGCAGGTGGTATGCGACCAGTAAGCATGAAGATCTTCAGCTCCTCATCAACAGAGTCACAGAAATATCTGAAAAATATGGCTTGAACCTTAATACCTCAAAAACCAAGATTATGGTTGTCAGCAAACAACCTGTTAATTTACCACCAATAAATTCAGAAGGAATACCATTAGAAAGGATCACACACCTCAGTTCCAATTTACATGAAAGCTGGGACATGACCATTGAAGTAAAGACAAGGATAGAAAAAGCCAGAACAGCATTCTTCAAAATGAAAAAGGTCTTCTGCAGTCACAACATAAGCCTAAGACTGAAAATCAGGCTTGTCAGATGCTATATTTTTTCTATCCTGCTCTATGGAGTAGAGAGTTGGTCTCTGACGGAAGGCCACCTGAAGAGACTAGAAGCATTTGAAATGTGGATTTACAGGCGGCTGTTACGTATAAACTGGGTTAACAAGATCAGAAATGAGAAGGTGATAAGCCACCTGGGAAAGCCAAGGGAAATCATCAAAACAATTAAAAAATGAAAATTAGAATATTTCAGACATGTGATGCGACACCCAGAAAAATACGGCGCACTCCATTTAATCCTCCAGGGAAAGATGGAAGGCAAACGAGGTCCAGGCAGAAGAAGAACATTGTGGCTTCAAAATCTAAGGGACTGGTTTGGACAAAACTCAGCAGCACTTTTTCATGCAGCTGCTGATAAAAACAGGATCACCAACATGATCGACAACATCCGATAATGGATATGGCACAAGAAAAAGAAGTGCACCTGGTAGGGGTGGGGAAGGGAATAGAACAAATGTTATTAAATGTTTTGCAGGACGGATACATTTTTTATTTTATTTCTGTAATAATCCAATGATCAGTTCTCAAGAAAATTTTACATTATAGGAGAATTCAATGTGAAACTGAGAAATTTTTATAAAAAGATGGGGTTTGTTTTGTTTTTGTTGTTACCAAACAAACTTATCAAAACTTTGCTGGAAATAGAAATGCAATCAAAAGATTATATTATCATATTCAGTGAACATATAAAACAGTTAAAATATTACAGATACTAATACTGCTTCAAGTGTTCCTTAAAGCTTAACTGCCATTTAATGAATTTGGGATGTTTCATAAAATAAACAAAGGTTAAGGAAGCAATTTTGTAGCAAACATTCTAACTCTGATGTTCTCTCCTTTTTATATGATCTGCAATATGTAAATAAGTTTATTCTATATTACCTAGAATCATTTTGAAAAGGGCTGAATATTTTTAGGTATTTCTTTTACTTAATGTACAAGAAATTGACCCTTTCTCCTATTAACTCACAGGGGGGGGGGGAAATGGGTCCCAACCATTTTCTTCAGATTGGAATCTTAACTGCAAAATGCACATGCAAGTTATGCTCACTGAAATATATTAGCCAATGCACTGAGTGGCTCTTTTATCCCAACAGGTATGTAAATTGAGAGCCAATTTCCCCTTTAAAGGAGCCCCATTATTTCCCTCTTCAGAAAGCACCCACCAACATAAAACCTGTGCAGTTCCTGAATCCTTTGTTGTCAATTCCCTCCACTCATCAGAGTGAGCAAAAATGTGGCTAAACATTGTCTTTTTAATAGTAGTCTTCCAAGGTAATTATTTTTCCCCTATAGAGTTTATTTCCATGTTCTGCTCCTATATTCAGGCGATCTCATTCATTTAAAAAAAATAAAAAAAAAACTTTTTTTTTTTAGGAGTCCAGTCTCAAATCCAGTTGGTGGAGTCTGGAGGGGATGTGAGAAGTCCTGGAGGGTCCCTCCGTCTCACCTGCCAAGCATCTGGATTCACTTTCAGCAGCTATCAAATGAGCTGGGTGAGACAGGCTCCAGGAAAAGGACTGGAATGGATTGCAGTTATTTGGTATGATGCCAGTAAGCAATTCTATGCAGAATCTGTCAAGGGACGCTTCACCATCTCCAGGGACAATGCCAAAAGCCAGCTGTATCTGCAGATGAACAGCCTCAAAGCTGAAGACACGGCAGTCTATTACTGTGCTAGAGGCACAGTGAGAGGAAGTGAATCTGAAGCCTACCAAGAACTTTCTCACCC